ATTGTGAATAACGTGATTTTCAAAGTGCATCTTTAGATTCATTTTAATATGGCTTCTAGAATCATATTTCCCTATATATATACACATGGAACGCGTGTGCAGCCCAATGTATATTATGGTTTCAATAACTTGGCCAGTAACTCATATGGCCTTAAGCACCCCAAATATATCTACATTATGTATGGGTTAATTGCCAACAGACCCCTAAGTATCCTCCAACTGCAGATACACCCCCTCTAGTTGTTATTGTGGCGGATAGACCTCCTCTGGTTTTACTGGTGTGAATAGAGCCTCATTGCTAATCTTTGAAACTCTTAGAAGAGTTTAACAAAAAGTTTACCGCCTTCCATGAGCACATATTAGAGGAGGTCTATCAATATCAATAGAACTATAAGGGAATTATTTGCATATTTAGAACTATAGGGATCTATCTGTAAGTGGGTGATATTGATCTATCACAATTAACCCTTTTTTTAAAGAAAGGAAGCCCTTAGTCTCCCATTCAATAATAAGGACCTGTTTGAGTAATAAGAAATTGTGTGACTTTGTTGCCCATCGTAAGACATCGTAAAATTTTCCCGCTAGTCCCAGGTGCAAAAAAATACTTTATGTGTAAAATGTGTAATATAAATAAGATTAGAGAGCAACATTAAAGCAAGGCGCCTGTAGTTAAACGGGCGTTCAATTTCGTTCAGTTGATCTTTGTTTCCATAGTTCAACTCCTGGCAGGTTGCCATCATTCCCCCCCCCCCCCCCCCCCCATTTCTCTTTTATGCTTATATACTTTTGATTTATTTTCAGATAATATAATATTGATCGATTTATCGCTGCGACTTCCTTATATAAAGCGACCCTAAGAGTTAGGGTAAGACTTTTGTTTGATTACAAGCTAGTTCATATTAACTAATCAATAGGACTGTCCAATTAGAGCCTTGAGGTCGGGCCCGCCGGGCGCTTCACAAGCTAGTTATCATATTAACTAAACATAGGGCTGCTCCAGATTGCGGCCTGAGGGGTTCCTGGGCCCGGGCTAACGGCCCGTTGCGAGCTCGACACCGGACCCGGCTCGGCCCCGGCCAAATTTTTCACCAGCAGGGCCAGTGGCAGGCAGGGCCGGGCCGGGAGAAAACGATCGGAATAGTTGGTCGCTTGCTGCGGGCCATCCCGAACCCGACCAGCCATAACGGCCATATTTTGGCTTTTGACCAAAATACCCCCAAAAACGGTCAAAACGGCCAAAATTTGAGAGTATTTTGGTCATTTGTCTGGGGGATGCCTCTATAAATAGATGGGGTTTTTTATTTGTTTTTCTCATCCAAAACTCATCTACTTCTCTCCAATACTCTCTAATACTCGATTTTCCTCTGTAATTCTTCAATCAAATGGCTTCCTCCTCTGATTATGAAGGACAAAACCTAACTCCCGATTTTAAAATGAGTCCTAATACTCCTACTACAGGAGCTACAACTACTCCTCCTACTCCTACTGATGTTGACCACGACTTCGGTGGCGACGATTCTGCACCAAGAGCTCCTAAAAGATCAAGATCTGATGTGTGGAACTTTTTTTAGAAGATAGAGTCACCAGGGATGAACACGGTAGGCTTCTTACCCAGAAGGCTAAGTGTGCGTTGTGCGGCCATATTTTCCAAGCTCATCATAAGAGTGGCACCAACATCTCAAACGCCATTTAGAGAAATACAACAAAGGTCAGATGCCTCAAGGTGATATCTGACAATCTTTAGTCTCTCAATCACCATCTTCTGATAGTCTCGGTAGTTGGAACTATGACACAGTCTGAGCTAGAAAATGCGTAATCAGGTTTATTATTCTTAAAAACATTCCTTTTAAATTAGTAGAAGATGATGAATTTGAGATATATTTACACATGGTTTTTATCCCGCATTTAAAAAAAATTCTCGTCAAACTTGTCAACGTGATATTTTAAAATATTATCAGGAGGAACAAGCAAAAATAATTTTTTATTAAAGTTTAAAGTGTAAATTTTGTTTAACTTCTGATATTGGATATCTAGAACACAAAGTGGTTATTTATGTATAACAACACACTTGATTGAAGATAATTGACAAATATTTAAAAGGGTTATTTATTTTATTACATTTGAAGAGTCACATACTGGTATTAACATTGCAAATTTAATAATTGAAGAACTTATAAAATTAGAAATTTCAGAAAGAATATTTTATCTTTCAATAGATAATGCAAGTAATAATAATGTAGCTGTTGATCATATCTAAACATCTCTGTTATTGCCATGTCATTGTGATATTTTTCATATTAGATGTGTGTGTCATATTTTAAATTTAATTGTTTAAAGTGTATTTAGTAAAATTAAATCCATGATAGAAAAGGTTAGGACAGTAACTTATGCCCATAATACTTCTGAACAAAGAATTAAAAGATAAAAAAATTCTATAAAAAAATTTAAAACCCAAAAATAGATGGAACTCTACCTATGCAATGTTAATGTAGCAATAGAGTATGCAAAAATTATAAATAATTTTATTACTTTCTATAATTCTAGTTCTAGCTCTGGTAGTATGTATGGAATAACTGAGGATGAATGGACAGTTATATATAGTGTAAAAGAGATGTTATAAGTTTTTTATGATGCTACTATGTTATTATCTGGTTGTTATTATCCAACCATTACTATAGCTGTTTTACAAGTTTTAAATATTCAAAAAAATTAATAAATATCGTATGAATAATTATTTTAGAAGTATGATTTTTCAAATAGAAAGTAAATTTAATAAGTATTTTAAGCCTATTCCTATTATTTTTGGTTTGGGGGTTCTTATTGATCCATGTTTGAAAGATATTGACATTCGAAGTTTGTTAAATTCTTTGTATAATAACATGATAATAGACACTAATGATGGTCAAACTATTACTGCTCTTACTCATCATAATACTATTAGAAATTATTTTTAAAGATTATATAATGAGTATGCAGCTAGATATGGTGTAACTACACATCAATCTACAGCTTTTGCATCTACGAGTTCCAATCGGGGCAAAAATATGAGTTTTGATAGGGAATCAATGGTAGCTGAGCTAACTGGTGGATCTGGACTTGGATCATCAACGAAATTTTCTAAAATTGATTAATATTTAACTACATCTTTAGTTAAATGTCATAATAATAGTTTAGATATTTTGCAATGGTGGAAAGTATATGGAACAATTTCATATCCTATACTTCCCATCATGGCTCGTGACTTACTAACATTGTATGTTTCTACGGTAGCTTTGAATCTGTCTTCAGCATAGTAGGACGTTTGATCGACGACCACAGGACATTGTTAGATCCTTAAAGCGTACAGGCGGTAATGTGCCTACAAGCTAGATTGGTGGAGGTACGAGAAAAGAACGCAATGCATCGATCGGATGGTTGGTATTGAAGGTATATTTCAAGAGTTGGGACTAGCAGATAGATATAAAGAGTAGACATTATTCATTAATTTCTAATTTTTATTTCTTAGCTGAAAATCTGTGATGAATTACTTTAGAAATAGTTGCAAATGATAGTGATATAGATGAGTCGGTGTCAACCTAGTTGGGATGTATTCATCTATTGTGATGCCACGAATTCCAAAATAAATTTATAATTATAGATGATTAACTGCTTATTAATAAAAAAGTTATTTTTATCATTTTAATTTTTATACTTTTTTGTATTTGTAAATTATGTAATTACAAGTGATTAATAATATGATTGTTTTTATTAAAATTTTATTTAATTTTTGGCTGTGTATTCTTGAAATTTTAAAGAAATAAAAAAATTAAAAATTTTTAAAAAACAGAAAAAGGGGTTGGTCCGGGCCTCGGTTTTGCTTGGCCCCCGGGCCCACTGGTTCGGGCCGGTCCGTTTGGACAGCCCTTAACTAACAATAACATAATAAATGCACATGTGGATATAAATCATCAGATGTTTATTCATAGGAAGTTGAAGGATGCTCTGATTGAAGATGTTGCCAGAGCTAATCATTTGAGATGATTTTAAGCACACCAAGTAGGAGAAATGACCGGATTGTTATTTAATCGAAAGAAAGCCTAGAGATGGGCCTAAAAAACTTAATAGAAATTGGGAAAGCACCCTTTCCTTGCACTCTAAAATTAAGTTAAGGGTTGATTGGTCGAGGGTTATAACTTTTATATTCTTGTATGCCCCACAAGTTGAGTGCAAGCCTAGAAATGGGCCTAAAAAACTAAATTAGAAATTGGGAAAGCACCCTTTCCTTGCATTCTAAAATTAAGTTAAGGGTTGATTGGTTGAGGGTTATAACTTTTATATTCTTGTATTCCCCACAAGTTGAGTGCCTTTCAAGGATCAAAATCTAGACTCACAAATTAGTATATTTTTAGAGCACCTTTAGAAGTTTGTGGCCAATAAGATCTTAACTTGGATATTGGATTGCTAGGATATTAGGATTTTGTCTTTGCGATGTTCCTATATAACTTAGTGGTTTCCTACAAGTGGACATTTTATAGCTCTACCATTAATTAAGTGTTATAGTTTATACTCTGATAAGAATTATTATAAAAAAATGATATAACAATAATTAACATCATGGAAAAGACAATGTTCATTGACATAGAATGGATGCGTAGTATTTATATGTGGTCATCCTAAAAATTTTGGGATAAATAAATTGTTTTCACTTATTGCAATAAAACATTTTACTCATCATAGGATATAGTTCTATATATTTATATTTATATACAGTGATCGGTTAAAAGATCCCTCCGTTAGGAAAAAAGAGAACTATCCTCTTAACCAAAGGAATACAAAATACAAAACGACCAATCTACTTCCATCCCAATCCAAAACCAAAAACCATCACATGCCCTTTTTAGTCTCACCACCCTCAATGTTAACTGTCACCCTTCATCCAAACCCTCCCTCCCTCCAACCGTTTTTCAAAATTCTGGCCTCTTCAAACCCCTCTAATTTTCAACCACCCATCAACCCCTTTACCTCCAAAACTCATTCCCCTCCTCTTAAACACCACCACCTCCTTCCTCCTCCTCCACCGGCTGCCACCGGAGTTCCTCGCCCGGTGGCGCCCTGCTTGCCGCCGATGGGACCTGCCGAGCGAAAAAACCCTCCTTGACCTCTGCCGCCTCCTACAAACCGCCATCTGTAACAACACCCTCCTCCTCCCTCCTGCTCCAGACCGCCACAACCGACCCCAGATTGCAAATTCAAGCCCTGAACCGACACGAAACCTGCAACCCACTGATATCTCCCTCTGGGGTGTCCCCCTCAACCCTAACGAAAACCACAAAAAAACAAACACCCTTCTCCTCAAATTCCTCCGTTTGAATGATTTTAAGCCTGTTGAAGCGTTTGAGATGATTCAGAGAACGTTGAAGTGGGAAAATGAGGAGACAAGAGAGAAGTTGCGGTCGAGGGTGAAGTTGTTGGAGAAGGGGATGAGAGAGAACGGGTCAATGGTTCAGATTATCGATCTCAAGGATTCTTCGATTGCTTCGATGAAGGATCTGAAGAGTGTTGTGCAGAAGTTGTTCTCTGTTGTTGATGACAATTATCCAAAATTTGTTGAACAGCATGTAAGTTTTTAGAATCTGATATTTATCAATGACGGGTGATGCCAAGAAATGTGATTATTTTGAGCCAAATTAATTGAGATTTTAGAAGAAATATTACATGTTTGGAAACCAGAACCTGTTTTTTTTTTTTTTTTTTGGAGAAATAATAAGACCTTATATTGATCATTCGTTTATCATGTTGCAGATAGCATGAATCAATCTCTGAAAATGTATCCTAAAATTTCTTTGTTAAGAGACCTCAATTAATGTAAGAACTTTGCATATTATAAGAACAAAATTACGTGATCGTTTACATTATCAATCAGATTGGTTTCTCTTAATAATCAAAATATAGTTGCAATCTTCATCTTCAATGTATATAGCATTATGATTGTATCTCTGAATTTTGTTTTCTAATGTATAAATTTATCTAATATGCCTTTGGATTCTCTCTGTATCTAGGCATTGAGAAAAGGTAGGACCCTATACTGATAGCTCATTTATGATGTTGCATGATAGGATGAATAATTCTCAGTGTCTAGGCATTGATGTAATACTTCCTCGATCATAATTGTCCATTATTTAACATACTAGTTTATCTTCTTAACGCTGCAGATATTTGTAAATGTTTCGTTTCGCTACTATGCTTACAGAGGCTTGTTCTCTCGCAACCTGAGTCAGAGAACAAAGAGCAGGTTCATCTTTGCTAAGCCATCCAAAGTAACTGAAACACTTCTCAAGTATGACACGTTCACGTCAAACCCAAAACAACACCTTCATCTTTGTCAAAATGAACGGATTACTTTCACTAACAAATGAGTATTTCTAATATGAAACGAAGGTTCATATCGCCCGAGAACATACCAATCCAATACGGTGGTCTTCAGAGAGATGATGAGGATGAATTTTTAGAGAATGATGGGAAGGCTTCAGAGATGTCAATCAAAGGAGGGGCTTCTTCAACCGTTGTAATTCCAGTTACTGCGGTAATAATAATTTAAATGGGAGGAGGAGAGACTTATTACGCCTAAATTTTTAGATGTTTTTCTTTCCGAAAACATAGGTTAATTCTGAAACTTGTTTGCTGTTGTTATGCAGCCAGGGGTAACCGTTGTTTGGGACATAGCAATTGTGGGATGGGGTGTCAACTACCAAGAGGAATTCATCCCGGACGATGAGGGCTCATACAAAGTTTTGATCAGAAAGGAGAAGAAACTGGACGAGCCTGTTAGAAACTCTTACTACATTAGTGAACCAGGGAAGGTGGTTTTGACGGTAGCAAATCGATCTGCAAAGAAGAAGAAGATCCTCTACAGATCAAAAAGCAAGCCCACTGTTCCTGTGTACAATTTGATTAACAATCCTGACATGTATTCCGCGCAAAATAATCGCAAGATTCTGATTTCTGGATGATGTTTTCGTCCCATAGTCAATGTATTAGGAAACTAAATGCATGTAAACCAATGTAAGTCTTTTGCAACACCAAAACGAAATCAACAATGCTTGGTAGGGATCGCCAATTGTTAGCTATTTTTTTAAGCTTTCATGGACCACTTACATGTCCAAAGAGGCTCACAGAGTTTCAAGAGAACAGTAGAAGAATCACATAAAAATTGCCATCAAACCATCCTGCTAGCGCTTATGTGCTACCGCCCCCTCGTTAGAAAGGGGGGTTTATAATAATGTAAACCAATACAAAGTAACATTGGAAAAAAAAGGTGTTAAAGAAATCCGGTAAAAGTACAGCAAGTTGCACCTTTTTACAAAAGCAAACTACAAGCAAAGAAGTGATAGCCCCACAATCACAAGTATAAACAACTTTGCTTTGGCTACAATGTACAGCATGGCTTCCGGTCGCTGTCGAGATACTGGCAGTGGCAATGGGAACTCCTTCGCTACTTATATTCACAATTTACATTTACAACTGACTTCTAAATGTTACATTTTTTAATCTCACGACTCCCTGTATTTGGTAAGGTCGAATGTCAAAGTTCTTGAACAGCTGCAAATAGGAGAAATGAAAATAATTTTCATAAGCTCCAACCAACAAATCTCTTATTTTTCAAGAAAAACAAAAGGATTTAGTAGTACAGAAAAGTTACCTTCTTTCTGAATCTCTATAAACACCAACCAAGGCCTCGGCTTTGTCATAGAAGCTGTCTTTCAGGGATATCACAATACTCTGAAACCCATTTCCACCCTCGTCATCTTGGTTGGCCCTAGCTCCATCACATGATTTCGACCGAATGAAACCAGCAACCTTGGCTACGTTCAAGTTATCCAGCGCTGCATCAACTTCGTCAAGGATAAAGAATGGAGATGGCCTGTAACTGAAACAGTTGCAAAACAAAACTGGGTTGAGTTTCTGATTCACTATCGAGAAAGTCTCCATTACATATACATACTAAATTTGTCAGTTATATCCTAAACTCAATATTGTACAATGCTCTTGTATGCCAAGGATAACAGTATTATAAGGTCATTTGGGTTTACAAACAAGATGAAAAGTACAACTCCAAACACCAGGAGGTAATCATAAGATATTTCAACTCGAAGCGGAAAGGAACAGAGTTTGGGTTTGCAGTTAGTTTCACAAATCTGAGATAATATATCCAATATTAGCAAATATTCCATAAAGAAATATATATCACATCAGGTATCTATAACAACCAAGGAAGAGGCGGGAACAATTAAATCGCAATGGCATGTTATATGATTTGGCTATGAGCCTCAGCAAGGATTTCAAGGTGGCATCACGAGCAAAGGCATGAATTCAGGTCAAGGATGAGAATGCTACATGTGCTGGTGCTTCGATATCACTTTGAATAGTGGTGCCCTGCTATCACTTTGAAATTTGAATGAATTTGCAATAGCTTGAAATTTTTATTACTTAAAGATAACGAAGGTGAAGAAAACATAATGGCATAAATTAAGTTGAGATTATTAAGATATAAGAAAGAGCATTAAATAAACGCGTGCATCCCATAAATGCAACCACTGCTAAGGTTTGAAATCTAAGTTTCAGTAAAGGAAGAAAGCTTGGATATCAGGCACTAGCAGCTTTCATTGACACATCATTCGGTATGCGAGAATCGAGTGTAAATGAGAACGGAATGGACTAAAGAATGGAATGGAATTAATGTAGGAAGCGAATGCTCGTTTCCATTCTCACATTTGGGTGCAATTTAGAGAATATAATGGGAATGGACGTATTTGAAAATTATGTATTTTATTGATTCACACTTAAGTGGGAATGCCTATTCCTTACTATCTCATAGGGAATGTTGATGAGAAGTGAGAATGGGTATTCTAACTTCAAAAAAGAGGTGGTGTTTGGTAGGAAGGAATGGGAAGTGAGCAATGGCATTCCATTCCCACTCTATTCTCGTGTATCAGACAATGCGTGAAAGTAACTGGATTGTGTATCAGCCTCTTGAAAGTTCTTAAAATAATTAAAATATTCTTAAAGTAGCAAAGTTAAGTCAACATCTTGGCATGATATTTTGATACCGGATAGCATTAAGTTTTGATGAAGTATTTTAAATTGTATAGTGATGGTGCAATAGTTTCCCAATCCAGATTGTATTTGATTCGATAAGCTAGCTTAAATGAAAGAGTGAAGAATTTGAACTTCATGATGAAATAAAGTTTAGTAAACTCCAGTTTGTACTTGTTAGGGACAGCTCCATCGTGTCATGAAACAACAAGTATAAGCCCCAATATAAGACAAAAGTTTCAATAGAAGAGGTAAGGTCAATGTTTAGTGGCATGATAAGACCGCAACACCTGACACTAGGAGGGAATGGTGCAGCACATTTCAGACTACAGAATAAAAAAATAGGATTTGCAGTTATAAGGCAAGAACCTGTCACAATTTTCTTCATTCTATCTAAGTATGTGTAACCAATGGCAATTTTGGTTAGTTATTCAACAGATCTATTATTTTCATAGACCCAGGAGACAGCATGCTTAATAATTAAAAGTGGATTTTAAGCATTCTCACACAGCAAGAACTTTCATAAGACATATGGAAAAGCACAGCATGCGCACCATGTATAATAATAGATAAAAGTACCTGTGTATAGCGAAAAGCAGGGCAAGCGCGGCAACGGTCTTTTCCCCACCTGATAACTGCTCCATATCTCTAAAACGCTTTGTAGGGGGCATGGTAGTATATTTAATTCCATGCAAGAAAGGCTCATCATCATTTTCCAGAGTCAAATATGCTGTTCCTCCAATTGGATGTGTATGACTCTTAGTTAATTGTTTGTAAATTTTGTCAATGTTTTTGGCAATATGATCAAAAGCCTCCATAAATAGTTCGTACCTGCACAGGTAGGTATAAACCACATGATGTATCATCAACAAAGAAATCAATCTTGCAATTGTATAATTCTGCACCGAGCACTAACTATAACACAAACTTCAAGGTTCACATGGATTAGCAACCACCTACGCTAGACCGTCCACGAGAATTTCCTTCATTTTTACCATGTACCTTATACATTAACATCTTTCTATTTAGATATTCCATGCATTAAATAAAGTTCAAATTTGAAAAATATGGTCTTGGCATATGTAATATTAATGTATGTATGTTTGTATCCGTCATAGTTACAGAATATGTAGTACGTAGCAGGTCGTGGTACGAATTTGGATACGCCAATTCGCCACTTAGAAAATTTGGATTCAACAGGAGTAGCTTGCTTCAGTATGCAAATTCGATCAATGGTATGTTGTAAATATTTTTTGGGGTGCTCACCTTTCCAAAGTGTCTAGTAGAAAACTAGAACCTATAATGCTAAATATATATTTCAAATATATTTTCATACAAAATACTTAAAATAGCTCTTTATGGGGATCTTTTTTTGTGTTTTTCTTTTCATATAGTTCGTGTTAGGATCATGGTTTCATTTCACATTTTACTAACATAGTTACAGTAAAAGTCATTGACTCATATTCTATTGTGAGTCTCCCTTCGCTTGATTGTGCATATTGTGTTGTGTCAGCAATACGTCAATTTTGAGGAACCAATTCATGTATCGGAGAGAATTAGTTTGCAAATGTACCTGGAATCGGTTCCCAGGAATTGTACAACAGTAAAAGGGGGATCCAGGGACTCGCGCAACTATGGTATCTGTATTGTGTGTGCCAACATGAGTATGTATGAATGTATCTATGTGTGCCATGTCACACTTCTGCTTCTCTTCTCTCTATTCTGTCTAGTGAATTTGGAAGCTTTTCTAACTGTGAACGTAGAGCAAAGTGGTCACCTAATTCTTGGTTAGCTCTAGGCCACATTTAGAACAGGCATCATTCATCTAAAGAGATGACATCCATTATTAGTGTATATAACGTTTACTATCACTATCTTTATAATTTTCCATGCAAACACCTTGATTCATGTTGAAAAGAGAGCAAGCATTCAATGATAGCAACGGAGATGATCGCATACTTCTAAATTGAGAGTTCGTATTCAAATATTTGAAATCAAGTTCCCAATCATTGAGAATATTTATCTATAAGAATAAAATTAATCAAACACAACATTGTATACAAAAACATAAACCAGAACAAGTATATTGTTTTAGTAGTGAAACTTCTAGTAAGTAGTACCTCCTTTGCCTAACAGCATTGTACTTGTCAGATATTTCTTTCTCTTCCTTCCTCACTGCTTCAAACTTTATGATTACTTCCTTCTCTTTTCCTTGCAAAGCTTCATACTGATCTAATGCTTTCAGATTTGGAGCCGTTCGTTCAATTTCTGCAATTAAAGTTTCCATTTTCTGTTTGAACTCCGTTTCAAGCTTTCCTCGTTCTGACTGCCTCATGTCCTTCAAATATGAATTGCTAAGCTGGCTGTAATCAAATACTTCTCCAGATTCTGGTGATTCGGTTTCCATTGGATCATCAATAGTTGGGAGCTTTATTTGCTCGAGTTCACACTTCTCAAGAACCTCCTGTTTGCGTGATTTAAGCTGCTCATGTTGTGCCTCCTGCAATCAAAGACAGGCTCTTTAATATAAACAAGAATACAAACCTAAGAATAAAGAACAACTTCCAACTTGTCTGATTAAATAGGAAAACTAGTCAATCAAAAGCACATATCTGGTTCGAAACAGGACAAGTTAAGAAGTACAGTTATTTACACTGACTGCACAATAATGGACAAGTATCCTACTTTAAAGGAAAGAATCAAATCGTAACTAACTTTTGAATTTATCTGGCGATTCAATTTCCCGATGGTGTCTTTGAGAGTGGCACACTGCTTCCTCAGCTCTTCGATAACTTCTTCGCATTCATCAGACATGCCCTTCCATTCTACACCAAGATATAACGCGTAAAGTTTGAGAATGAAAGTTAAATGGGTGCATTCACATGATAACTGAACATTTTTACAGAAACAATAAGAACAACTTTGTTTCAGAAGAAAATAATAACAGTGAACATGCAAAATCAAATAAAATCTGAGCCTTCTTTGAGATACTTCTTCCCTGTGGTAAAAAGGGTAAATTTCACAAAGCCCCTCTTGAATTTAGCCTTCTTTGAGATAACCCCCTTAAACCATTTATTCAACAAAGACCCCCTAATCTTGAGAGGTTTTGCACATAAACCCCCGTGAACTTCTTCTATTCCACTCTAGGTTACCCAGACACTGCATTTCAGGTCCCGTGCGGCCACATCCGTGTCCAAAACGTACACAGATTAGCAGCAAACACACAATGGACAGGTGCAGTTCAAAGGAGTGATTTTTTTAAGTCTATACAAGCTGCAAAATTTCACTTGAGCAGCAATTATTTGTAAATCTTCTTTTACTTTTATTTAAGCTACAATTTTATTTAAGTGTGATTATTGGTTTTCTTTGAACCATAAATTTTTTTTGAAATTATTATTAGAACAACTTTTGTTGTTAAACCTTAGTTCTTAGTTGTTATAGATAATAAAAAGAAACATAGAAATGTACTTCGCATGCGACATGTTAGACCCGATGGTGTTACTTAGGGGGTTAAAATGAAAAATCTTCCAAGGAGTTCAGTGTAGAAGAAGTTCAAGGGAGGGGCATATGCAAAATCCCTCAAAGTTTACGGGGTTTTGTGAGATTAAAATAGTTAAGGGAGGTTTATCACTAAAAGGGACAAACTCAAGGGGTTTGTGAATTTTACCTACAAAACTACTGCTTCCCTTTTGTTCTTAAGAATTGAAGAATATATCTATCACAGGATATACCTTGAATTCCAAAAAGAAACACACAAAACCCCTCCGGCAGTATCCTCTAATCCTTTTCCAATAAAAAAAGGGTTCCTCCATTAAAGAAATAAAATAGACTGATGGTTCGCAGAAATTACATTTAATTTTGTGCTCATCTATCAATTCATATAGCTGGTTTATGCAACGAAACTGCAGGAAAGAAGGGTTGGCATGAGATTGATCGTCTGCAAGCACAATATTACTCCGAACAGCCAAATTGCAAACCGTTCCAAAAATAATTATTATTGTGGATCAAAAAACCATCTTATAATGTAAGCAACCTTTGCTTTAGAAAAAGGTCATAACATTCTCTTCTAGTTTAAGATTAATCTAGAATTCAATGGCTCAACTAGCATTATGATTGACATAGCTGCAAGCAACTGCAGTTTAGCTCATTAGCAAATTATTTGATAGCTAATTTTGCAACATAACTACAATTATAGGTATGAGGTATTCAGGTTATGTTTGTGGTTTTGTACGGGTAAACAGGTGTTTGCATGCTGGAAAAAGATGATCAGCAAAACAGCTCCAAAATGACATTAACAAAATTTGGGACACGCAAAGATCACTGATACTTGAAGGAAGAAACAATTTACATATAGCATGGCATTAAAAGCTATTGTCAAGGATCTAGAATTCCAAAGAGGGTCATAAGTGTACTAGACATAACTGTAGATGCATTTATACTGCTCAGGTAGAAAAGAAAATGAAGATTCATTTACTCACTATCAACTTCAGTTTTCCACTCCTCCATCTGAGCTTCAATCTTCTCTGCTGCTAGTTTGGCATCAGAATCTTTCTTTTGTGCATTTTTCAAATCCTCATCCAAAGATTCAAGAGATGACATCAACTTTGCAATCGGTGAATCCATGTCCCTCTTTTGCTCGTATTCCAGCCTAAGAGAAGTAACTCAAGGTCAATAACTTTAGATTATTTGACATATATATTGAGTTCATCAGATAACGATCATGCCTACAAGTTCCAAGCATGTTGCTTGCACATGTATAAGAGGCACAGTAAATATTTACATTCAACAGAACTAGAACGGAAACTACAAGCCAGGAAAGGCGGGACAAATAACAGATATAACAGTTAGAAGATATGAGAATAGAAGAAGACACAGAAGACATACTGATATTTCAACTTTGACATCTGATTGCTCAAGCTTAGCTTTCTCTCATACATTTCTTGAGCAACCTTGAGCTGGTTCTCTTCATATTCACGAATGTTTTTCACTCCAACGGACCGGCTGAAGTCCTTATAGATTCGATCAACTATTTCATTTATCTTCTTCTCCAACTTTTGAATGTCTTCTGTCCTTTTAACTATAAGCCGTTTCAACTTCAGACAGGGAGAAACAGCAATCAGAAATCCAAAACTGAAATAAATATATATATATAGAATCAGAAGTCAAAACTGATATATAAAATTATGTATATATATATTATATATATATATATATATATATATATATATATTATATATATATATATATATATATATATATATATTATATATATATATATATATATATAGAGAGACGAGAGAGAGAAGAGAGAGAGAGAGAGAGAGAAATGGGCATGCTTTGGTACCAAGCACAAGTTTTTTGTGTTTGGTAATAAGTGGCATATTCCCCTCCATCATTAAAATTGGGTACACATTCACATGGCGTTGGGGAGTGGTGGGAATTGGAATGAATGGATGGGAATATGACACCTCACTACCAAGTACAAAATTTGTGCTTGGTACCAAGCATACCCATTTTTCTCATATATATAATATATATATATATATATAATATATATATATATATATATAATATTATATATATATATATATATAATATATATATATATATATATATATATATATATATATATATTATTTTTTTCCTTAACATAGAAAGCGGAGAAAAACATGGAGATAAGCAGCTACCTTTTGAAGCTCAGGCTTTAGACGAGCAATCTCTTGCTTAACATTTTTCTTCTCTTCCTCCAATTTGAATAGTTTTCCACGAATTGTTTTCTGCCAACAAACTCCGAGTAAATAACACCATAAAATGCAGCATTTTACAACATTTTCACAGCTATTAACACAATGATGACTATG